AGAAGCCTGCGAGGCTGCTTTGAAAGTCACGGCGCTCTCCACTCCTCATGCCTTGGGTCACGCCCGGCAAGTCTCCCGCTGGGTCACCCCCAGCGCTGTGCACTCCGCCTCTGCTGTGTCTGGACAGGACTGGTAAACACCGATATCTTCCCCTGAGCTGTTACTACAGCCGCCCCCTTGCCTTTCCTACTTCACTCTTGGCGTCTTCCCACTTGTTATCTGCCTACCAGCAGTACCTGGTCGTGTTCCATCCATGATTAAAAAACAGAAAATCCTCAGAGGCCGGGCTGATTTCATTAATCTGGGTGCAGTGTGAGACTGCGGGGTTTTCTAACCTCTCCAGGGAATTTTAATGGGCAGCTAAGTTGGAGAACCTGTCTCAGCCTCCGTGAACTACTTGCTGGCATCCAAACTTGTCTGCTCTCTTATCTCCTGACCTTTGCACCGGCTGCCCCTTTACCCCATGTCCTTTCTTACCTACATTTTTGTCTACCTGTCTACAACTTACAAGAGGAGGCTATGGGAGGGTTCAGCATTAGCTGTGCAGACCTAAAGGAGGCTCAAGGGAGATTGAGCACTTAGAGGACGCTAAGTCATCGTCTTGCGAGAATCAAGAGGAAGGGCGGTATGTGCAGAAGGCAGAGGGGCACGCCCATGAGAAATGGGCTTTGTCTTTAATTCTGGCTGGCTATGGTTCTAGACCATGCTCTCTAACACAAAGGGAGACTGCACAGGAGATGCTCTGAGGAGCTTGAACTGCTTTGTCCTCTATGCATTCCTTGCTAGCTTGCTTGCTTCCTGGTGACTCCCACCCTATCAGCATATCACAGAGTCAGGGTCTCAGCCTCTAGGTCTGATTTGCCTAATTGGGGATGGGAGAGACAGGGAAGGGTGGTTAAAACATCTCCAGGAATTATACTAATCTCAATGATCACTTTTTTTTGAGACAGAGTCTCAAGCTGTCACCCTGGGTAGAGTGCTGTAGCATCACAGCTCACAGGAACCTCAAACTCTTGGGTTTAAGAGATTGTCTTGCCTCAGCTTCTCAAGTAGCTGAGGCTTCAGGCACCTGACACAACACCTGGCTATTTTTTTGTTGTAGTTGTCATTGTTTGGCAGGCCCAGGCTGGATTTGAACCCGCCATCTCTGGCATATGTGGATGGCCCTCTAGCTGCTGAGCTACAGGCACCGAGCCTCCATGATCAAATTAAAATTGGCCTGGCCACTCTGTTTTATTTGCATAACAGAGAGCAGTTCAGCAGTTTAGTTAAAGTCGTTTGAAGCTGATCAATTCCTTTAACTCTCTGATTTATATTTCCCACTCCTCTCCCCCCCCCCACATCCTAGACATTGTCTTCTTCCGATTCGAGCAAGAATATACAAATTTTATCTTAAAGGACAATAAAAGACATTTATACAAAAAATGGCCATGTGCAGTCAGTCCCCAGGTGCTCACAGTATGGAATGCGATTCAAATAGCTGTGGCTTTTTCATAAATAAATAACAGTTTTTAGCATGAACTCTGGGTTCATCCAACACCCAGCTTTGCTTCTTACAACACGTGCCCCTGAACAGCTCCCCAACCTCTCTGTGCCCACTTTCTCTGTCTCAGAAGTGGGTATGGCTACAGCACCTGACTCAAGCCTGGCATGAGATTTAACTGAGTTATTCCTTGTGAAGTACTAACCTGGTGCTTAGTAAACACTCAATGTTAACCTTTTTAAAAAAAATGGTTAGGATCTTGTTTTTTTTGCCAGAGTCTTCATCTTGATGTTAGTGATGACGCCTTCCTTAAAGAGATTAAACTAAATAGTTCTCACAAATTAAAGATGGCACAAGAAAGAAAGGCCCCCTCTCTAAGTCCTGGTGTCACAGTGGAGTCTCTGTGCCTGACCAACACGACCTTCACCACATATATTGTGGACCTAGGAATGACATCAGGGTCCCAGGGGCTCCGGGTCACGGAGCTGGCCTGGGGCAGACTGTGATTAGCTCTCCAGGCACCACGATCTCCCATGACACTGAGCTTCCAAACTGCATTGGGCATGGTGTCTGTGCTCACACCAGCCCAGGGGCATTTAATCTGTGTCACCTTCGATCGTTTTACAGTGCTTAAAATTAAGTACATGTCAGAAATGGTGATCATTTTGAAAAAGATAAATTTGTAACAAAAATACAAGAAAACTTTTTCATAAGGATACTTTGCTGTCCCCCATCTTAACACCCCTGTAGTTAAAGAATGAGAACAATGGGGTGGCACTGTGGCTCAAGGAGTAGGGCAATGGCCTCATATACTGGGGGTGGTGGGTTCAAGCCTGGCCCCAGCCAAAACTGCAAAAAAAGAAAAGAAAGAAAAGTACAATGATAACAATGGTTCTCTGATGTAAGAACAGGGCCTGAGGCACCAGAAAGGAAAGTCTCACTCAGTTCTTTCAAAAGAATAGACCTGCAAACTCACAGGAATTAATAAAGCAGGTATTCATGGTACTTAATTCAAAAGAAACCCTGGGCTTATTAGCTTTGTAGCATTAGGTATAGTGGATAGGGACATCTCTTTGTGGTTAATTGAAAGGGTAAAAGTTGTTGTAATTAAATTAGTGCTAAGCAAGCAGCAGGATTAGAGCTGAAAAAGAGGAATTCACCAAAAAAGGGAATTGGGTAACCAAGACTTTTAGGGTTAGTGCTACGTATACCACAAGTTTTCCTTCTCTTTAACCAGCTCACAGTAGGAAATGCTGGGTGACGATCATGCATGTACCTGCACTGGGTCACATGCCCACCTCTGGGTTTTGAACACAATATCAGACCAGGGTGAGATTTTTTTTCTTTTTTCTTTCTTTCTTTTTTTTAGAGACAAGATCTCTGTCACCCAGGTGGGAATGCAGTGGCATGATCATAGCTCGCTGTAACTCTGAACTCCTGGACTCATGTGATTCTCCTGCTTCAGCCTCCTGAGCAGGTTGGACCACAAGTACATGAATCATACCTGGCTAATTTGTTTGTTTTTATTTTTGTAGAGATGGGATCTTCCCCAGACTGGTCTTGAAGGACTGGGCTCAAGGGATCCTCCAACTTGGGCCTCCCAAAGTGCTGGGATTAGAGGGGTGAGCTGCTGTCCTTGGCCCAGGGTAGGTTTTAATGCCACTTGCCTTTAATTACATCATCATACTTGCAGCCTTCTAGCGTGTCTTTGGGTGTAGAAACCCTGTGTAACCCAGACCTCACACTGAAGAAACCAGACCACTTCTCAGGCTGAATTCACCAAATGCCTACGAGGTTGCATCAGCTCTACAGGTAGAGGGAGGGGCCCAGGGAAGGCAATGACTTTGATCAGAGATTGACATTAATTAGATAGCCTCTAACACCGGGGGCCACTTGTCTGGGTTTAGGGGATTGCTTTGCTGTGACTGCCCCTGTAGAGCTGTGACAATGCTTCCTAAAGCTTAAACCTGCCACCTTAAACTGGACAGAACCTGCACAGATAACCTTTGGGAAGATCCTTACCCAACTCTCTCAGTACCTGTAAGAAGTCGCTGTAAGATTAGAAATTACATCTGATAAAGTGACTGCCAAGGCATTGTTTGAAGAGAGGGCTTATCAGTCCCATTGTGTGAAGGTTAATGAAGACCAGATCTCTGGCCACTGGTCTCTCACCTCACCTCCCACGGAATGAAACCTGATTAGAAAGGTAACTCAATAGTCCTTAGAGTTCCAACACTTAATTTACAGTTTATTCCATGTGGAATATGCTAACTTGGAACTCACTTGAATCTGAGCCTGATTAGCGCAATTTCCACCTGCCGGGCTCCTGCGGGTTTGCGCACCGGTTGGCCGCTGCGCTCTAGCGCCCCCTCTGTCGCCTTGCGCCGGCGCCTGTGCTTTGGAGGGCGCTGACTTCATTGTGTTGAAATTCTGCTTCTCTGACTCTCTCCCCCGCTGCACTGACAGGCCCTAACTTACTTCGTATTCCCAGAGCCTTGCAGACTTTGTCTTCTGAGAATCATCCTCACGTGCTTCCTGACCTGAACTAAGCGTGCTCAGAGAGACCTGGGGCTTCCCGCCGGTGACTATTGTGCGGGCAGGTGGGAGTTGAGCAGATTTTAGGAATCTGGGAGACCCCAGGAGGATGGGGTGGAGGGGGAGAGGCGGGTGGGCAAGAGCAGAAGAGAAGATCCCTGGAGTGGATGAACTCTGTGAACTTTGAACGGAAAGGAGCATCTAAGCCAAATTTATTTCACAAATGGGGAAACAGAGTTCGAACAAGGGCGGACCAGAAGATTGTAACTTACTATTTTTCTACCATGTCTGGAGGGAGGTTCCGCGTGACATTCAGTCCTGAATACCACCTAAGTGTCCGCCCAACCCGGGAAGAGAACGCGGTGTCCAGAGAGGGCGCACACACTTCAATCTTCTTAAAACCAGACAGAAAAGAGGACAATACTTGAAAGAATCAAGGGATCCTGTATAGATCCAAAGAATTGGGACCCAAGGAGTCTTACAAGTACATAACAGAGTTGGAGACATAAAAAGCAGACATTAAGTAAAGAAGATCGCAACTTAGAAATGCCGCATTTGTCTTGTTCACCCCCAATTAGGTTTGCTCAGTGATCCTAAGAGGAGAATCGTTACGGTTCACGTCCCAGCCAGGGCCCCCACGCCTAGCCTATCGCAGCCTTTTAGCAGGAGCTCCAGCTTAAGGGGCTCCCTTCTGGGCCTCAGCAAGCTGTCAGCTCGTCCCTGTCATCACCACACTCACCGAGGAAAAGAAGAAAGCAACTTTTGCAATGTGGAAAGTGGCAGTGCGTGTGAAGGTGGGGGCGGTTTGGAAGAGGTGCATCTAATCCGGCTGTCCCCTGCGACAGGCCTGTGCCATGGGTGCCAGCTCCAGTATCACCCTTAGGTAAATGTTTGTTAACAGACACTAAAGGCAGGAAACTTACTTTCATAAAGCATTTTCACCGTATTAGGTCTCTTTGTTCCTCAACACTATCTCAGTGAAGTGCTTGCTTGGACAGCACATATACTAAAAAACTAAAACAATACAGAGGAGATTAGCATGGCCCTGGCCCCAGGATGGCGTGCAAATTCATGAGTGTTCCATATTTTCAGAAGCAAGTATCTAATATACTCAATAATAACATAAAGCCAGTAGGTGACCTAATACACACCCACATAAGAGAAAAACTCAAATCAATTCCAGGTGGGGAGAGGGGGAGGAAAGACGGGGTGGGTGTGCTCCCACACAATGAGCACAATATTAGGGTATGACACACCTCTTGGAGGTGGGACATAAAAAAAAAAAGGGACTAGGCTCAGCGCCTGTGGCTCAAGTGGCTAAGGCGCCAGCCACATACACCTGAGGTGGCGGGTTCAAATCCAGCCCGGGCCGCCAAACAACAATGATGGCTGCAACCAAAAAATAGCCGGGCGTTGTGGCGGGTGCCTGTGGTCCCAGCTACTTGGGAGGCTGAGGCAGGAAACTCGCTTGAGCCCAAGAGTTGGAGGTTGCTGTCAGCTGCGATGCCACAGCACTCTACCCAGGGGGGACAGCTTGAGGCTCTGTCTCAAAATAAATAAATAAATAAATAAAAGGGACTCTAATTAACAAAAGCACACATTGTAACCTACTTGTACCTTCAAATTAACCTGAAATAAGAAAATAAATAAATTAAAAAAAACAATATCCCAGTGAGAAAAATAGGACAATCATTGCCTCTATTTCACATACGGAGGAAGAGACATCACAGAGAGGAGGAGCAGCTGGCGGGGTCCCCGAGAGGTGCATGTTGAGGCCGGGATGCTCTTCTTCCCACCACACTTTTCACTCCCTGGCTCTCCATCCAGACATCCTTCTTAGTGAGGTCAGCCTGAGAGACCCGAGACTGGGTGAGCCTCTTCCTCCGGAGTGCTCCCCAACCTGGCAGGCATTCTTGTCTTGGAGGATTAGTACCAAGATAGTCTGTATCAGGATCCTCTGACCCAAATAGGAAGGAAAAGGCACAGATCACAGAACACATTGGCCACCACAACATTTGTCCTTCTTGAAGACATCTGGTTTTCATTTCCTGCTGCTCTGTAGAAAACAACCAGCAGAGTGAGGCCTCCTGGGTTGAATCATAGCCTGCTCCATCTAGAAGATGAGGTACGAAGTAGATGATTTCCATGCCATTTTCCCTCATCCGGCTGCGTGGTTATCCAGTCTGGTATAGGCAGTGGTGAGACAGAGATGGCATATGACCCAGAGATCTGTGTGCAGCGAGATTGCTCAGTAGTCATGACGGTTGTTGTTGTTGTTCGTTTGTCCAGGAGTTTTAAAATCCACTTAGTGATCAATGCCCATTTCAGGCTTGTTTAAAGCAAAACAGTGTCTTGCCATTGAAGTTGGCCTTTAAGTTCTCTTTAAAATGAAAATATCAAACCATCCACTGATTTATATAAAAGTCTCAACAGCATCTTCCGCCTGTGTGGTGTTTCCTTAGAGAGCCAAAGGCAGCCTGGCAGGTCGGCAGGAGGCTCTGGGTCGGCAATTCCAGATAGAGTTTTATCCTGGGTCATCTCTCTTGAAATAGGTCCGATAGTCTTTGTACTCAATAAAACATCAGAGTGAGGATGAGAGATTTCCAGTGTCCCCAATCCAGATCAAGGCGTCTGTAAAGCAGCCTTACTTCCATCGTCAGCAGGGTGGCAGCCAAGGCGGGAAGAGCAGAACCAGTCTCAGGGAGACAGTCTCCTAGGCTGGAAATAGGGAGAGAGATCTGCAAAGCAGATTTAACCAACTCTTCCTTGCGTCTGCCACAGCTGCATCTGCCAAACGGGGCATTGTGAGGCCTGCCCTCCCTGAAACAATAGCTCTCATGAAACAATAGAGTCGATAGGACATAATACCCCTTTAGAGAGGCTTTGCATCCTAGCTCGGGGCACTCTGAGCTCCCTTTCCATTTGTGCTGGCTGCACACAATGTGTGTGTTACAGGATTATTTGGTTTAAGGCTTTTCCTGTTTTCCCTCCCCTATCACTTAATTTCTGCTCTACCCTTTCTGCAAGGGTGGTTTTTACGTTGAAATGTTGGGGGATTTGTCACAGGGCCCATGACTGAAATCTGTAGCACTGCTTTTCCCCAGCAGTTTTAAAACGAGATGAGCTGCATTGCACAGTGGATTTCAAGGGCAGGTCAGGGTGGTCCCAGTTCCCCCAACTGTTCACCAGCCCTGAGGCGCTGGTTGTATCGCAGGAAGAACCGACTATTTACTAACAAAGGGCCATGCTCATTTTTCTAGGAGAATGCACAGTGACGCTTTCATAATTTTTCCAAAGAATATAACTTACTAAGGGAAAAACTGAACAAGAAAAAAGCTTATTATAGCATAAACCTGCATATAATATTAGTATCTAATGTTGTAAAATTTTTACTAGGTGGTCTATCCTGGAATTATTTTATATGATCAGTTGAGAACTGTATTGGTAAATAAACAATGTCACATGGAAAAGTAGAATATAAACCATTTATTCTTTGACAGAAACTGAGAAAGTATGTTTGGATGTGGACAAGAACTGCAAGGTAATAACTAAAAATAAAAATAGTTGTAATAGGCTCGGCACCCATAGCACAGTGGTTACGGTGCCAGCCACATACACCGAGGGTGGTGGGTTTAGACCCAGCCTGTGCCAGCTAAACGACAATGACAATTGCAACAAAAAATAGCTGGGCATTGTGGCAGGCACTGTAGTCCCAGCTACTTGGGAGACTGAGGCAAGAGAATTGCTTAAGCCCAAGAGTTGGAGGTTGCTGTGAGCTGTGATGCCACAGCACTGTACCGAGGGCGACATAGTGAGACTCTGTCTCAAAATAAATAAATAAAAAAATAAAAAGTTGAAATAAGAAGGAGAGTATGGCTTTTAAAAATCTTTATTTTTAACATTTTAAATGATTTTATCAAGAAAAACCTTCTGCTGATAGTAGGAGGATCCTGCAGAAGGGACCTAAGTGCAGTTGAGCGCACAGACTTCCTTCTGTACTGCAAGTATTGCGGCATATTCTCACCCACGGCCAGAACTGTGGGTGACACCTGGACTTTGAAATAGTCACAGGGACTCCTGAAATGCAAGGGGCCCTGCAACTGGGATACCCTTTCTTCTTTCTGTGAAGTTATTATACAGGGAAAAGGAGAAAATTAACAGGAGTCACTTCATTCCAGGTAGTCATGCCTTATAAGCATGATTTTGTATCCAATGTGTATTAGATATTCATTTTAGGGAATGGGCAGCTGGGATTCAGGTGTCAATTGGAATGCTCACGGTCACTCAGTGAGCAGTTAGAATCTGAGTTTGAGCCCAGGTGCAGGATCCAAGCATCTTGTTTTTCCCATTACACCACTGTGTGGCTTACCGGTGCTTGCTAAGGCCCACTTCCTGTTTCCGAAACAGAACGTAACTTGGCGAGACCAGAGAGGAGTCTTTACCAGTGTGTCTCCCAGCCACTAGGGCAGTGCCCACCTGAGTAACAATAGCTGGGGGTGCTCACTCTTCTGAGCACTTTACCCAGATATTCTTGTTCTGTCTTTACAGTTTGGTTCTCCAAATTTGGAGGGAAGACTGGGAGCAGAGGAGTTGGCAACCCGTGCTGGGTTATACAGCGTGTTGATGGCAGAGCCCAGAGTTTTTGAATGTGTGGCCTGAGAAGACTTAGGTGATAAGAGATTCCTGAGAAACATGTTTTCCGCATTTCTTAGATCTAAAGTAAGTCAGAGGAGATAGGTATAATTGAGAAATATATTAAAAAAGGAATAAAAAGATTTCCTTAGTTTCTTTAGCTCTAGCTCATCAGAGAAGCTGTTAATAGGTGGCTGGTCCCAGGGAAATGCCTGGAGCTTATCTGCGAGATGAGCTAATTGCGCCTTTCCTGAGATTTCAGTGTCCCCTCCCCAGCACAGTGAGTACTGGCAATGCAAAGCTAACCCTGCCCCAACTGTTCCTGAGAAAATGAGTTCCCCTGCCACTACCCTTCAGTAGCTCTTACCCTTTTAGTACAAAATGCTTTGTTTTACTTTTAAATGAAAAAAAAACAAAACAAAACAAAGGAGAAGAACCAAGTGTATGGTAGAGGCATTCAAGCCTTTGCCTGTGACCCACAGTTGGACAGGACCCAGCACAAAGTATGTGCCCCCAACCCCTAAATACAGCTGAAGTCAATGTTCAGTAGACAACTGTCCTTATCCACTTCAATATGTTTTTTATTTTGTGCTAAAAGAACTCTGATTACAATTCTCTAAATTGACTGCAGGACCCATGGATTGAGAGAGTCCAGTTAGGAACCCTAAGTTCAGGTTCCCACAGACAATTTTGAACACATGTCTCTAGTCCTGCCCTCTCCATTTTCCTATCTATTGGCTAATTGTTAAGTTGGTCAAGACGGGTTCAACTCTGGAGATGTTCTGCTGTAACTTGTATCTTTGCGACCGAGTCTGAGGTCTTCATCGGGTTGGGTGAGACCCCCCTCCAGTTGCAGAGTTGATGGCTCTTTTCTCTCCATCACCTTTGAGCTTGTTGAAGATAAGGTGCAAGGATCCTGATAGAACTCACAGCTGTTCAAAGATACAAATCCTGTGTTCAGGGAAATGGGAAAACAAAGAGACCAAGTGAGACCATGCGACCAGACTTGCTGTGAACTGGGACCCTTGCCTGCTGTGGCCGGCCCCTTGGAGCTGGGAGCAGGAAGCAGTCATCACACCACGGCTACTCCTCTGTCCCCCGGGGTGTGGTGTCTCTCATTTGCCTTGTCACAAGAGAGCACATAATCATGAGGGAAGGATTCCTTCATTGTAGGAGTTCATGAAACATTTATGAAATAATGAGTTGATGTGAGAATTTCCTTAAGGGCACCTGGTCCTAAACCTGTGAGTTTCATATGAGAGGGCCAGCGTTCAGGGAGAAACCCTCCAAGGTCCTGTCTTGGTAGAACCATGGCTTTTTCCACTGCTTGTGCTGCCTGTATTCCCTGGGTTCTCTATGTCTCCTGTCCTACACATTATCCCCATAAGAGCATGACATTGTCACATAATGGACCCCACTGTATATTTAAAAGATGTGGTCATGATAAAAGATATTGTA